AATCTAATCTTTAAAAGACAATCTAAGCATCAGTACCTTGAAGTGGAAATGGGGATTTTTTTTGTTGGCAGTTACACCATTTGATATTTGTCCTTTTCCACTGGTCACACATTTTGGTATCTTTGGGTGACAGTTTTAAAAGACTGAATAAAGAAACTGATAACAATGGTTCTCTCCATGGCAAGGACAGGCAGCCTGGGGTGTGGTCAGAGGAAGATCAACCTTTCGCTGTGCATTTTTTTGTGTGTTATTTGAATTTTGTTACTATGCGTATTTATTACTTAAAAATAAGAGAAATGTACTGCACCATGTCTACAGTGCTTCCTTGAATTCAACAAATATTTATTATTGAATAAAATTAGCAGAAATAAAGCATACAGTTCACTACATCTTTGGGATTTGGATCTACCTGAAAGTCCCTGATTAGTACAGGAATGATGCCTGCCTAAATTTTCTAAATTTTCTTTCTTTTTTTTTTTTTTTTTTTTTTTGAGATGAAGTCTCCCTTTGTCACGCAGGGTGGAGTGCAGTGGCATGATCTCAGCTTACTACAACCTCCGCTTCCCAAGTTCAAGCGATTCTCCTGCCTCAGGCTCCAGAGTAGCTGGGATTACAGGTGCCCGCCACTATGCCCAGGTAATTTTTGTATTTTTAGTAGAGACAGGATTTCACCATGTTGGCCAGGCTGGTCTCGAACTCCTGACCTCAGGTGATCCACCCACCTTGGCCTCCCAAAGCGCTGGGATTACAGGCATGAGCCACCACACCTGGCCTAAATTTTCCTCGTAAAACTTATTTTGAATATACTAGGCTGTCCCTATCGATTGCAAAATCCACTAGACCTGAACCTGAGCAAAGACACTCTCACCACTTACTTCCAGTTCCCAGAACGGAGCTGGCACTCAGGTATGCGCTGTAAGAATGAAAGAATTAGTCCAGTTAAAGGAGCAGCTTTAGGGAATGGAGTTCTTCCTTACGTGTCTTCTCCACGGAAAGGAGAGGAGAAAGTCTACATTTTGAATAATTAACTAAATTGTTTATTAAAAGTTTTAAGGGCCGGGCGCGGTGGCTCAAGCCTGTAATCCCAGCACTTTGGGAGGCCGAGACGGGCGGATCACGAGGTCAGGAGATCGAGACCATCCTGGCTAACCCGGTGAAACCCCATCTCTACCAAAAAATACAAAAAACTAGCCGGGCGAGGTGGCGGGCGCCTGTAGTCCCAGCTACTCGGGAGGCTGAGGCAGGAGAATGGCGTAAACCCAGGAGGCGGAGCTTGCAGTGAGCTGAGATCCGGCCACTGCACTCCAGCCTGGGTGACAAAGCGAGACTCCGTCTCAAAAAAAAAAAAAAAAAAAGTTTTAAGGGGAAATCATATATCCTAATTTCCCCTTTTCCTTGTTCCTTGGAAAAGAAAAAAGGTTCTGTTTTCTTCTGAGTTAAAAATATATATATATTGCTATTGTGTTTTGAAAAGAGGTAGTGATGAGGCAGTGGCATGCTCCCCAGTCAGTTTTCTCCCCTGAATCCTTCAACCCAAACGTCCTTTTCCAGCAATCAGTTGTCCTGTTTAACTCTAATGTCCACCCCCCACCTCAACACTGCCTCTCACCTTTTGTTGATTTAAGACGGGTTTTCAGGGAAGAAGGTAGTCTCTCTGTTCGCCCTTGGAGAGCACTGGGCTTCTTTTTAAGTGTCTTCTGAGAGTCTGTAAGAGGGACAGAAAATGTAGCTGGTGCTGTCCTCTCATAGGCACACTGGGGACCTCTGAAGAGGAGACAAACCACCTCAACATGTCTTAAGTGGCTGGGCCTCTTTTCTTGTCCATTTTGTAAAAGTGTCACCAGCATATGAAAACACTTTTTATGTAGGTATCTTCTTGAGGTCCTTTAGAGTTCCTGAAGACATCTTAGTGCCTAAGAAACCCGAGTCAAGTTGAAAACAGCCAGTTTATGCTGAAAGCCTGAACTGTAAGTGGAAATGAATGGATTCGGGGATTGGCCCCTCTGGTTCTCATGCATGTCTAGGGTTGTTCCAGGAAGTAGACTTAGCAGGCTTGGGCTCACTCACATGAGCTCAGGCCCACCCTTCATTGTGGCATTTGGTACTAAGTGCACTAGTAATTGGTGATGCTGTCTCCTCATGAAAGCTTCCTACTGTGTCTGGAGACCTTCTCCAGACCTACTTCCATTTCCATTTGGTTCATCCAAATTGAGAGGTAACTAGATGCCTGTATCAACTGAAGACCAAACAAAGGCAGCATATTTTTGCTAAAAGGTATAAAAATTCGCTTACATTCTTAAGAGATTTTAATGTATTACATTATACATATATTACATGTTATACATACATAATTATACACACATAGTGTATCAACGGCTTTAGAATTGGTGAATGGACACGGTGGTGAAAGGCGATAGTCATTGCCTTTAGCTGAAAAAGACAGAGGTTGGAGATAGGCTTATGTTTCATGGTTCTCATCACAGCAGGCTTAGCTTTGCTAGATTTACTTTTCAGGGATAGTATTTACTAACGGGGGTAGGGAGAACATTTCAAGATATTTGCACATGTTCTCAAAAGAAGTGACAGAACAGCAAAAGGATATTCTCTGTGAGTGATTTTTAAATGGCACTTATAAGCCCCAAATTAGGATCAGAGGAAGGGAAGTTTAGGACTAAAGGAAAGTGAAAAATGGATAACTGACATCCCTATAGATGATTTTTATGCAATAAAGTTAGATGATGCATAATAAATGCCACCAGACTATCTAACCTACTTGAGGGCAGTGACAAAGTTTTACTCATTTTTCAATTATCTACCAGTATCTAATATGATTCTTGACACACAAAGTGAGTCTTCTACAAATTTCAGTTCAACAGGAATTATTCAACTGTATCTTATGTTCAGTAATTCCAGAGCCAAGCAAACTGAGACCTGAGATAGAATTTCTGAGATAGTCTTTAGTTTTGGGAAATAGTAGATACTCTGATTGATAACAATGGAATTTCGGGTTACTGAAAAGTACATTTAAAAGGATTCAGGAAAGGTATCATAGCTGGCTTCCACACCATATTTACACTAGGAGGCCTAGTGACTGGTTCTGGAAAGCATATTGCATTGGATGGCTGAGGGGAATTAAGAAATTCAAATAGCAGTCAATTAAAAAAACAAAGATGTTGAAATAGCACGGTAGCTCACACCTGTAATCCCAGCACTTTGGGAGGCAGAGACAAGAGGATGGCTTGAGGCCGAGAGTTTCAGAACAGCTTGGGCAACATAGTGAGGCTCTGTTTCAGCAACAACACAGAATTTTAAATGGCCAGGTGTGGTGGTGTGCCTGTAGTCCCACCTACTCAGGAGGCTTGCTTGAGCCCAGGAGTTTGAGGTTACAGAGTGCTATGATTGCACCATTGCACTCCAGACTGGGCAACAGAGCGCAACCCTTTTTCTAAAATAAAAAAAGCAATGGCAAATACAAATGCTCATTTATTCTATATCAACAGCACCTTTCATTAATACTAGCACATGTTCCAAAGATATTTGGTACAAGTACAATATGTCTCCACTCATGGCATTCTGGTAAAGTGATGGTCCATGTTAAAAATAGCTCATTATCGTGGGTAAAGGGACTTAAGGCTTTATTTCATAAAAATCAGGCATGGCTATCAAGAAGAACAGAAATGCCTGAAAAACAGATTCCAATGGGTCACTTCTTGGAAAGAAAGCTTAATCAGTATTGACAAAAAAGGGGGAACATGTGCCAGGACTATTTGTGTTACTGAAAGCAAGGAATATAGTGATTGAGTTTAAAGGGGAGAAATAAAAACAGATATTGCATTGCTTCCCAGTGGAAATACTGTTTGAGTCATGTGGTAGGTTGATTGGACTCCATTCTGGGGTTTCAGTTTTATGGACACGTTTCTTTTTTGTATCCTAAGCTGATTCATGATAGTTTTGAATGATAGTTATTTTTAAAATTTTCCTTTGATCCCTGAAGACTCTTACTTGTCTCAATCTTTCTTTAGCCTGGCCATCAATTAGTGTAAAACAAGGGGAGATCATGTGGATTCAATAAGGTAAGAAACTGACTAGCCAGCTTCACGCCCAAAGTTATCAAACCTGGTTCTTAGAATCCACGTTCTCATGTCTGGCTCTTTGTTTAAAAGAAAAATAAAATCACTAGGATGGCTGGAGGGAGACGTTTCCCCAACCTCATTGAAGACTGATGAGCTGTCAGTCTATTACGTGGTATCCTGTTGAGAAACATGTGAACAATTGGAAGAGTTTATCAGATGACTGACCAGTTGTGAAATTTAGCACCCAGTAATTGATTCTTAATGTGAGAGGATTAACTTGGGAATTGGGAGTTTCTATGTGTGGAAAGGAAAATGTATTCCCTTTACTCAGTTACCATGCAAAAATCAATAACCCCAATTCACATATAAGTAAAAAGCAATATGTCCGTTGATCAAAAAAAATTAACATCCTTCTAGCTCTTCCTTTCTTCTCCTTACAATTTTGATATACTTCTTTGTGTGTGTGTGTGTGTGTGTGTGTGTGTAGCCTTCCTAAAGGCCTGGGCTTTTTCTAAATGTATGCCTTTAATTTTTATCCAATATACTTCTCTCACAGCAACATATCTTGTCTATTCTATTCCAGCCCAATGCAAATGCACAGCAAATGTGAGCTGACTCTAGTCCTTCTTCTGACAACAGCCATGGGAAATTTAGGCAAAGAATGTGTTGTCTTTGCTAATACTGCTCTTTAAGCCTCAGACATAGCTAAACTCTCAGCTAATTACCCCCTGGGTCCCAGGCTTTCACTGGGGCCTTTTAAAATACACAAAACCAAAGTGACGGCAGGAGGCCATTAGCACTACACATTTCAAGCAAACAATAAATGTGTTTACTCTGCCTGGTTACTGACCACCTGCCTTCCCATCCCGCCAGGCAGGTATCTATATATACGATTTCCTTTTTCCAAGTCCTGCAGAGAATGAGCCTCTCCTTTGGGCCTCATCATTTACAAAAGAAGCTTGGGCCCCTGACAGCATGCATCTCCTCTTATTGCAGCTGCTAGTACTCCTGCCTCTAGGAAAGGCCACACGGCACCAGGATGGCCGCCAGAATCAGAATTCTCTTTCCCCTGCACTCCTGCCAAGGAATCAAAGAGAGCTCCCCACCAGCAACCATGAAGAAGCTGAGGAGAAGCCAGATCTGTTTGTCGCAGTGCCACACCTTGTAGGCACCAGCCCTGCAGGGGAAGGCCAGCGGCAGAGAGAGAAGATGCTGTCCAGATTTGGCAGGTTCTGGAAGAAGCCTGAGAGAGAAATGCGTCCATCCAGGGACTCAGATAGTGAGCACTTCCCACCTGGGAACCAGTCCCTCATCCAGCCGATAGACGGGATGAAAATGGAGAAATCTCCTCTTCGGGAAGAAGCCAAGAAATTCTGGCACCACTTCATGTTCAGGAAAAGTCCGGCTTCTCAGGGGGTCATCTTGCCCATCAAAAGCCATGAAGTACATTGGGAGACCTGCAGGACAGTGCCTTTCAGCCAGGTATGTGTTCTGTGGGGAGAGCAGGTAAGGGTTTGTAGGTGGTAGTGGACAACTGGGATGGATGGAGAGTAAGGGAAAAGGCTGTTGGGAGCCTGACTCTAGCTTAACTACAGATTTGGTCCTTAGGCATTCATCATAGGATTTGGCAAATGTTAAGTTTCCTTCTGACCTTTCCATTTTTTCTTGGCATTCTGGAAATGCTGCAAGAATGATATGATGAATCTGTCAATATCAGTAATCATTCACATTGAAGACACAGAGCTTTGTTTTATTCATTTATTTTTGCATTGGAAGTGATCTACTCAGAGATATGAGTCAGACTGTACCCTCAGTTAGGAAACTGAGAATTTAGAGTAATCACCAGAACTCCTCTGTAGCTATCTTTCTGCACTCTATTCATATGTGGATGAGCAGGTCAACTCCATTTGTTGATAAGGTGGGGTGCATTGGACTCCTCCCCAAACACTCTCATATCCATTTACAATGGTCTTCATCCCCATATTCCGTACTTAACTACTTTATAGGTTTATAAGGGGCTTCTTTAATGGCTTACTAAAGCTATCCCACAACCTCAAAGTATGTTGAGGTTCTCAGGCAAAAGTTGTCATATCATTTCTAGTATTATGATAGCAAAAAAGTGATTTCATTTATTTTCTCATATGAGCTTTTAAAAAAATCAATCGATGTGAGATTATCTCTCCTCCCCTGAGATTATTTCTCCTGATTCATGTTGTGTTGACTGATTTGTAATTATTATGATCAATTCCACGCTATTAAGACAAAGGGGCACCCTACTGTCTACTTCCTCTGGTTCTGGCAATACCTACATTCCAAATGTTAAATTAAAACTGAGAACTTGCATTAGGTCCTTGAACATGAAGATATTGAACCAAAAACAATGCAGGGTAGAGTAAAATTTTATAGTCGAGTAATGCTACCCAACTAAGCAAGCAGTAGAATAGGGCAATTGACTGTGCAAGGCAGTTAAGTATTCTGCCTGAAAAGGCAAGGATATGTAGCAATGACAAGTCAATTACCAAATAATAATGACTACTATGTTGGCCATGTGCAATTAGAAAATTACTCCTAAGAATCAGGCAATCAAATTTCCTCTGAAATTCTTCTTTTGAATTCTATTGCTAATTAGATTAAAATTAAGACGTTTGACTCTTACATATTTTGAAAGGCACATAAAGCTAGGTGCTTGGAGTTATGAGAGGTAAAGGTGAGGTAATGCACAATGATTTGCAGGCATACACATTGTAACTCTGCTTGCATACAACTTCATAGACTTGAATGTACTACAGGTCTTGCAGAATAGGATAGAATTAAACCCATAGTGTTCTAATCTATTCTATGATCAATTTAACAAATATGTATTGGGAGTCTACTATGCACAAAGCGCTGTGAGGAATAAAAAGGCAAGGCACATTACTTATGTAAGATAATTACCATTAGAATTTTTCAATTGCTCACATCCATTTAAACAAAATTTCTTAAAGTCTGACACTAATAGTGTAGAGTAAAATATTTTTATGTTAACTTAGGGATTCCCTAAAGGCTATTTAATAATTTGCTCAATAAAGAAAGTTTAATTGAAGTGGTTCTATGCCCTTATAGATACCATCACTTGCATATTGCAAATTATATCCAAAATTGGAAAGCTTTGAAATTTTTAGTGTATATTATCCTCAGATTTACAGTCCCTAGCTTCTGCATTATGTGTGTTAAAGAAATAATTCAAAATAACGTAATGGAAATCTGTTTGCTTTTTAGACTATAACCCACGAAGGCTGTGAAAAAGTAGTTGTTCAGAACAACCTTTGCTTTGGGAAATGTGGGTCTGTTCATTTTCCTGGAGCTGAGCAGCACTCCCATACCTTCTGCTCTCACTGTTTGCCTGCCAAGTTCACCACGATGCACTTGCCACTGAACTGCACTGAAGTTTCCTCCGTGATCAAGGTGGTGATGCTGGTGGAGGAGTGCCAGTGCAAGGTGAAGACGGAGCATGAAGATGGACACTTCCTACATGCTGGCTCCCAGGATTCCTTTATCCCAGGAGTTTCGACTTAAAGAGCTATCCCACTATTACCTTTGAAAAGCAAAACCACACAGCAAAGATGCTGATTATTCAGTCTGAAAATGTTAAGTGGGTACATAACATTTTCAGGGAAAGGTGACTTGAAAAGTAGTTTTAAGATAGAACGATAGAGGAAATGATATTAGTCTAGTTATTGGTACATGTTTGGGACCTTGTCTCAGTTCTGCCACTAACTGGCCATAGAATGTTAAGTTGTAAAACCTTTCTCCATCTAAAGATTTTCATCTATAAATGAGGGACCCAACCTAGATGATTGCTAAAATCCTTTCCACTACTAATATTCCGTGATGTATTTTCTCCAAGTTTGGGTAAAAGCCCTCCATCTAAAGAAGGAAAAGAAATAAGTGAGACCATAAAAATGGGCTTCTTTAATAGTGTGTCAAATCACCAGCAAGCAAACAAGCAAGATAGAGAGGGAGGAAGGAAGGAAGGAAGGTAGAAGGAAGAGAAGGAAGGAAGAGAAGGAAGGAAGGAAGGAAGGAAGGAAGGAAGGAAGGAAGGAAGGAAGGAAGGAAGGAAGGGTAGGTAAAGTATTTGTAGGAAAGATTCTCATACTTGTAGTTACTTTTGCAATCCAAGCAGTGTTTTACTTGACTTCTATCAGATGATTAAGTCTTTCCACAGATGTCAGGAGTAATTTGCTTGGTTGCCTCCTTTTTAACAATACTCCTCATATAAAGTACTTAATGTCAGGTGTCTGACTTTGAAGAAGGAACAGTGATGTTACTTTTAGTAGTTTATATAGGGAAGAGGAACAATCACTGGTAGCCAAACAAGTACCTATATTATGAGGAAGGAAAAATACATGACCACTACCAGGTTTAAAGATCAATCCAGAGATGATAATGAAAGTAACCCCCAAGAATTCAATCTTCAGGCGAAATTATTTACTCACATGCATTTTGAGTTAGGTAGTAAGGTTTCTATGTTTGAATGACTGTTTTTTGCTATTTAATACAACTTTGTACTATAAATTTTATTCAGCAAATGACAAAATTACAGGTTCTGAAAATATTCTGGATATTTTAATGCATTAAATTTTAGTATATGAAGCATTCTGAAAAATGTTCTTATATTTTTCCCTTATTTGTTTCATCTCATAATTTAAAGGTACTGTCAGGAGATTACCTAACTTGAAGCATTTCTGGAATATCTTCATTTCTGGAATATCAATCAATTATGACACTGGCCCAAGGGTTTCTTCTGATCTGTAAGCAGCCTTCTGTTTAAGTCTCTCAATCACCTCTCTCCTGCCTGTATTAATTTTTACACATATATGGTACAGAACTGCCTTTTCCCAGACTACTTTTTCTAGACTAGTTATTCAAATTTTTATTTTTAAAAATTATTTTGATAATTAGGTTTCTTTTACTTTTAGTGCACACACATTTCCCAGAATAACTGTTGTTTTAAATAAATCAGTTTATATTTTAATTCTATTCTTCTTTAATCACACCATCTAACATGACATTCTAAAGAAGCAAAGGCATTTATATTTAGTGTATATTATGCAACACATCAACATGAATATGAGTTATACAGATACACACATGGCATTTACATTGGAATATATTATTATACCCTTTGGTGGTCAAAGGCAACCTAGTTGGCCAAGATATGGTCATAAGGATAAAATTGTTAAGCATTAATGATATCTCAGCTGGTCAATATATTTTGGTGCCAAAAGCTATCAAACAGCTGTCATGATTGCAATTGCCTAACCCTGATTATGAAAACCCATCTCTGCCAATTGGACTGTCCTTCTGCTTACGTACTTGTAAATCCCTTTCATCCATCCTTGCAAATAGACTCTCAAGCCCAAACCCCAAACAATTATCTGTTTTATTCAAATTTTGGTCTGCCCTTCCCTTGCATGTAAATTCTAGATGGGATAGTTGATAGTGGTATCAAACCTTACATTTATAGAATAATTGCATGAAACTCAACGAAATTGCTCATATTCAATCATTTTTACTTACAAAAAAGGCAATTTACAATGGTTGAACATAATATGTAGGAGCATAAGAAACCAAGAGGAAAAACACAAATATTGAACATTTATTAAGTGCCAGATACTGTGCTGTCTTTTACAAAAAGTAAACAATTTAATCCTCACAAAAATTATATAAAGTAGGTAATCACTGTATTTTATGGGTAAGAAAAGCAAGCCTTTAAAAGTTGCAACAATTTGCCTAAGAGCATTTGGAGAATATTTTCTATTTTGAATTAAAATATTTGCTCATTTGTTCTTTGTCAGTTTATATTGAACTCTTCCAGGTCTCTTGCCTATAGGCCTCAAAGCTAATTTCTTTTCACCTCTTATCTAGCTCTCTCGTATCTGAAGGATTTTGATGTTATATCTCAAAAAAGAAATCATCTCTAGGTCAGGTTATCAGGCAAATATTTCCTTGACGTGGTTGGTCCTCATGGCATGCCTCTTCATAAATCTTGGTCTCATTTTCCTCTCATATAAAATAAGGCTGGTAATAACTACCTCAAAATTATTGTGATGGTCAAGTGTATATAACAACACTTCAGAGAACTTTAGATCCTGTAAAACTACAAGGGATTAATTTATTCTTCTCCATTCAGACCTTCTATTTTTAAATTTGTTTTGAGAAACTGAAAACACACAGAGAAGTGCAAAGAATAACATAACACTGAAATTCCCATCACCAAAATAAATAGTTACTATTTTGTCATCTTTTGCTTCTAGTCTTTTCTTTAATAAGCCATTTCAGATATAAGTAAAGTTCCTTCCGACCACCACACTGAGTCTTATTCCCCAAGCTTTTGCCTATAAAACATCACACCCTTAAAAATTCCTGCTTATACTTTGAATTCCCTTTTATGATTTTGCAAATTTATACATACTTCCATAAACAATATGTAGTATTATTTTTATATGCACTACTTTAGTCAGCATGTATTTATTTGTCTACCAACTATGTAGAAGATACAGCTCTAGGTACCATGAATACAAAAAGGGAACAAGTCAGATAAGATCACTGCTCCTATAGAGTTTACATTCTATGGGGGGAGATACGTAATTTGAAACTCAATCAATTAATCAATCAACTTAAAAAGAAAAATATCAGATGGCTGTAAGTGGTATGCAAATAATTAAAATATGCTAGAGATTGATTAGACTGAGTGGTCTCTAGATGGTGACATTAAAGCAATGCGTTGTGAATTAGGTACATGATATTCTCTATTAATTGTTCTATAAGGGCATTTTTCACCACACATAATTCTTGTTTGTTTTTACAAAGTTTTTAGAGGTTTTTCCCATCTGTATTTTATCTCTATTCTAGAAGCTAAGTATTCCTTACAAAGAGTAGTTAACCTAGCTTTGATTTTCTCAATCTGCACAATTTCTTTAACCTGTCAATTTAATTCCTAAATAAGACTTTTATTTATCCTCTGAATTTTTACAGATAATTTAATTTATTCTGTGCAAGACACTGTGCTAAGAACCTTGAGATATTCAAAGATAAATAAGATATATTTCCTGCCACCCTTGAGCTTACAATGTAGTATCAGAGATAATGTATGTAAATTTTAAGGCAATGATAATAGTACTTTTATAAGGACTACTAATTATTGAGTTCTTACTATGTGCTCAGATGCTTTATATTTGTTACCTCCTAGAAGTAGACATTTTATACTCATTTTTTTTTTTGACAGGGAGAATGAGAGTTGGAGGGGTTCTTTCATTCAGTCCACAAATACTTATGAGTGTCTCTGATGAGCCTGGTCACTGTGCTGGGGACAAAGAATATGAATAAACGAGTATATGATTATCTAAATATAATCCCTGAGTTTAAGAATCCTACTGTCCAGGAACAAGTAACTGCATGTTTTTGCTACTTGTTTACTCCTCCATATATTCTAGAATGATGATCTCTCCATCACACCCTACCCCCAGGCTCAAAACCACTGTCCCAGTGAAGCCTTTCTTAACCCTCAGACAAGTTCGGGTTCACGTCTAACATGATTTCATGACACTGAAACCTTTGTTTTATAGAACTCATATCAACTTTTAATTATATCTTTATTCCAGTCATCATTAATTAAATTATGAGGTCCATGAAAACAGGTATCATATTGCAGGAGGTTTCTTTCAGGATTGTAATTAATGTCTGGAAGGGGCCAGCACACAGTAGGTACTCAATAAATATTTTTTGTCTGCATGAAAGAAAAAATATCAATAGGTATCATCTACTGAGGTTACCTCATGTGTCAGGCACTGTGCCAAACACTTTCTATACATCATTTTATTTAATCCTCGTGAAACCTTATGAGGAAGGGAATATTTATAGATAAAGATGCTAAGGCTCATATAAATAAATAACCTTCCCACAGTATCACTGTTAGGGAATAGGAGAAGCTGAATGAGTCCAAAGCCTAAGCTCTTTCTTACTATGCTATATTGTCCCAAGATAGCAAAGACAGAAATATACATAACATATATATTTATGTATGCATATGTTGCAAATATATGCACATATATAGACACACACATAGATATATACAAATCAAAGTTAAAGACTTAATACTAGTCCATCCCCTCTCTGATTCCCAGAGCCCGTTATTCATGCCTGTCTTACCGCACCTGTAACAGTGAGGATGTTTCCAACTCCAGTAGCAGGAAACACACCTCAGAATGTATTAAGAAGGAATGTACTATGTCTCTAACAGGAAGCCTGGAAGGCAGCCAGTTCCTTGGTTGGTCAAGTCAGCAGCTCTATCATTCCATCAAGGACTCTGGTTCCTTTCATCTTTCTGCTCTGTGACTTTCAGTGCGTTTTCTACAAGCTAAAACTTCTCTCAGTCACAACGTGGCTGTTGCAGTTCCAGGCATCATGCTTCAATATTCACACACCAATGTCTCTCCCACTTCCGTCCCTTTTAAAAAGCTAGATAAAATGAGTTATGTCTAGGATAATTGAGCAGTGGAACAAAATCAAGGAATAAAGAGCAAATGGCTGTTGGGCCACAGCTGTTACCACTTTTTAATTAATTATTATTATTTTTTTATTATTATTTGAGATGGAGTCTCACTGTGTCTCCCAGTCTGGAGTGCTCTGGTACCATCTCGGCTCACTGCAACTTCCGCCTCCTGGGTTCAAGTGATTCTCCTGTCTTAGCCTCCCGAATAGCTGGGATTAGAGGCGTGCGCCACCACACCTGCTTAATTTTTGTATTTTTAGTAGAGACAGGCTTTCACCATGTTGGCCAGGCTGCTCTCGAACTCCTGACCTCAAATGATCCGCCCACCTCGGCCTCCCAAAGTGCTGGGATCACAGGCGTGAGGAAACACACCCG